AGTGTATGGTAGGAAAACTAAATTGCAGAGAGAAAGCGTGATGCCGCCACGAAAGCATGAAAGCGTAAAGAATGAAATAAAAGATGAAGTATAAAACAAAACTTGAAAGAAGCTAGAAAGATGAATTTGGGGTAAAGTGCAATAAATTGAATTGCAGAAAACTAAATATATCGAGTGGAGATGTTCACAACGAAATAACAAAAATCAAAGTTAAAACTAATGGCAGCGTAGAGCTAAAGACTAAATTAGGAAAGTTGTTTGAGAAAACTGAATCTAAACTAAGACATTACTTGTAAAACTAAAATGTAGATAGCGCTGGACCAATTGTGTGAGAGGCTGGTCCTTCTGCTTTGTTTCTTCTCTGCATATTTATAGCAATAAACATCCCTTTGCAACATGCTTGGAGATCTACGGTAGCATCTTAAAAAACCAACAGCAATGTGATATCTGAAACAAACTGATTAATTTGTTGATGTTGCTGATTATCCTCCTGAAAGCTCGCAATAAGGTAACGGTTTTGCTGTTGTTGTGGGAATAACCACTCAATCTTATTTGGAAAGATTTACACCGATAACTGCCAACATGGAATATCTGCCAACATGAATGACATGTGGCACCATTTTTTTTTTTTTTTTGTAAAAATAAGTGTAAACAGAATCTATAAGTAAAATATCATTAAATTGAATTTTTCTTTGATTATTCTAGGGGAACAAATTGACTGGAGATGGCTGATGATAGCATTAGATAATTTCTTTTGAAAACTTTCTGAATGAAGGGGGAATTCATAGATGGATAATATGGGTGAAAATCTTATATGAATTGTTAAATCTCAATGATTTAAATGTTTTTAAAAGATGATTTACGCTAAACAAGTGAGGAACAAGCATATCAAAGAGACTATCTTATTTTATTTTTAGAACCGATCATGTGTGAAAGAGGGTATAGGTTCCAAGGGTCAGCCTATCACTATCCTTTGTTTGGTCTATGTATCTCAGCTATAATTCCTATCCCGGGTCCCTCCTTGTCTTGGTCTCTCACATCATTTAAATAAGAAGTCAATTGTGGACAACCTGGCAATGTGGAAATATATTTTTTCAATAGACTTAAAAGGCGCATTTTTCTATTGTGACCTATTGGTGAATATTACAGTCTAACAAGATTGTCGGTGAATTGCACTTTAATTAGTGATTGAATCTTACTAAGAGTAAAATACTAATTTAATTTTTAACTTTCAACCATTTTTCTTATAAAAAAAAATAGAGCTAAAAAGCTCCACTATTGTAATGTCATTGTCAATAAAATATATAAATAATAATATAAATTTTATTAATTTAAGGATAAGAACATTTTAATTATTAAATTAAAATGTAAATTTTTATTTTCTAAAAAATATATAAATTTTATTTTTTTATTTAAAAATTTGTTAAATAGAAATGACATGACAAATACATTAATTAAAAAACAATAAAATTTGCATCTTTAAATAAAATAAAATACATATTTTTAAATAAAAAATAATAAAATTTATATTTTTATCTAAACATTTTCTTTGTCATTGTCACATGCATTAAGTTTCAAAGTTGAATAGGAATATTAATCTCCCTACACAAAAAATTTCCTTCATGCATTAATTAGCAAGTTTTTGATACTTTTAACAAAAAAGTATCAATTTTGTCATTTATTTATAATTTAAAGAAGAAAGTCTTCACTATAATGAGATATCACATCATTCCTATTATTTAATACCATAACATAACTTCTTTTTTTTTTTTTTACAAGGGTAATGGTTAGGAAGTTAGTGTGAATTAATTATTAATAATTAGTCCTCAAACCGAATGAATATTTCATCCCCTCAAATGAAGCGCGCGACCATCAAATCACTTTTTGGTGGAGTTCACGACGGTGGTAAAGTTCGAAACTCCAACCACCTCACCCAAGCATTTAAGGTTTGGGATCGAACCATTAGACCTGAAGACCCGATTCTATAACATAACTTGATTAGTCACCTTATAATAAAAACTAACGTTAGAAACTTTCGTTATTTTTAACGGAGTTAACATAACTTTGTTAACCATTT